TTAAAAACAAAACAAAACAACAACAACAACAAAACAGCAACATGTACGTCCATGAGAAGGTGTCAGATCTCCTGGAACTGGAGTTACAGACAGCTGTGAGCTGCTCTGTGGGTGCTGGGAATTGAACCTCTGACTTCTGGAAGAACAGTCAGTTTTCTTAACCACTGAGCCATCTCTCCAGCCCCCAAAGAACCTTTTTTTTTTTTTTCTGAGATATGGCCTCATCTGGTAACTCTGGCTGGCCCAGAACTCACTCTGTAGACCAGGCTGGCCTCCAACTTGGAGATCTAAAGTCAGGGGATTCTTTAAGGGCCCCAGAGGTCTAGATGTAGTCAAGTATAAATACATGTGTACACAAATGCACAGATACTCATTTTTGCTTTTAATAAACATTTTATTTCAGAATAATCTGAGAACAAAGAACAGAACAGAGCTTGCACACCTGCCTGCTGCCCAGCTCCTCAATGCCCAGCTTCTCACACCAGTGCCAACTATGTTTGAAAAATGCTATACAGGGGCTGGGAACTCTGCACACAGGGGGGCACAGCTACTTAGCACGAATGAGGCTCTGGACTCAACACCCAGCACTAAATAAACGGACACTAGCATATTACTTTTCTGTTGATTAAAAAAACATTTTAATGATTACTTTCTGATTTTATGTGCATGAGTGTTTTCTTTGCATGTGCATACATGCATGCAATACTCGTGGAGGCCAGAAGAGGGCGTCAGGTCCTCTTGAACTGGAGTTACAGATGGCCGTGAGCCACTATGTGGGTGTTGCCAATTGAACCCAGGTCCTCTGGCAAAGCAATAATTGCTGAGTCACCACTCCAGACTGGCTTTTCTGTTTTTCTGAGCTAGGAGCTCATGTAACCCCAGTTGTCTTTCACGTGTTAGAATTACAGGTATGAGCCTCCCCACCAGGCTGCCATGTCTGAATCCTTATTATTTAGACATTTAAGAGACTTTATTAGGCAGGGTCTCACTGTGTAACTTGGGCAGGCCTGGAGCTCCCTATACATAGTTCAGGAAGACCTTGAATTTACAGAGACCCACCTGCTTCTGCCATCAAAGCCAACAATCCAGGCTTTTTTTGGGGGGGGCAGGTGAATTCTCCCTGAAAGTGACAATTTTTTTCTTTTTAAAGGCATTGGTATTTTGCCTACATGCATGTCTGTGTGAGTGTGTTGGATCCTAGAGTTACAGACAGTTGTGAGCTGCCATGTGGGTGCTGGGAATTGAACCCAGGTCCTCTGGAAGAGCGGCCAGTGCTCTTAACCGCTGAGCCATCTCTCCAGCCCTGACAATTTTTCTTGTTGTCCTGTTGGCACAAATAAAATCCAAGCTGGGCTGAAAGAGAAGTTCCTTGAAAATGACTTCATTTGAATTCAAGACAATGCACACCAGAAGCCAGAGTGTGGCCCTTTAATTACAAGTCCAGGGCCAGTCAATTGCCGGGGGTAAGGGGGTGGTCAGACATTCTTGACTTCTGCGGGAAAACTGAAAAAATGTGAAGATTGTGCTGTGAGGCTCCTTCATGTGAGGCTGCAGCAAACCTCAGGAGGACTCTGAGGTTCCTGTCACTGCTTTGCATTCCTGGCATTTTATCAGCCCCACTTCAGCCCACGCCTGGCTCCCCAGGCCTGGGGAGCCGAGGGAGTGAGGGTGTGGTAGAGCCGCCATGTTTCAGGGGCCTTCTCTAAGGGCAGCCTCGGCGCACAGGTCTATTTAGGGGCAAGAACAGTTCCTGTGGTGAGGGGCTTGCTGAAGAGTGTGGCTGCACACCTCTCCCTTGACATTAGGAGAAAGGGGGGGCTGTGGTGACATGTGCCTGCAAGCCCAGTACTGGGAAAGCTGAGACAGGAGGATTGCTTCAAGTTTGAGGCCAGCCTGGTCTGCATGGCAAGTTGCAGGCTAACCAGGGCTACACAGTGAGACGTGTCTCTAGAAACGAGAGAGCCACAGGAATGGTTCCATGGGTAAAAGGTTCTTGCCGCACAAGCCTGACCAGCCTGCTGACTGGTCTGGAACCCACGTAAAGGGGAAAGGGGAAAACTTACTTCATACAGACGCCCTCTGACCTCCACACAGGAGCCATGGCACACGCACACCTCCTCCTGCACGCACAATAAGGAATAAGTAATAACTGAAAAAATACCAGAGGGAGAAAGAAGAGAGTGGTATCTGTCTTCAGGGTGTCCAGCCTAAGGTTAGACCCCCAATGGCAGAGGTTACCCCCAGGGCCTCAAGGCCATTAGCATGCTAGGACTGGAAATCTTGCATTGGGTACATTTTTTTTTTTTTTTGAGGGTTTCACTCTGTAGCTCAGGCTGGCCTCAAACTTATTATGAGCTCAGGCTACCCTTCAGCTAGTGATCCTCTTGAATGCAGGGCTTGCAGGCCTAAGCCACCACACCTGACTCATCTGAGGTGCATCTTAAATATGCCCATGAGAGGAGACAACCTGCATTGCTCGAAAGGCAGATCTGAGCCCTGGACCCATCTCCAGGGACAGCAGCTGGAGGCTTAGGTTCTGTACTCAGTCCCTCACTGTGACCTCCACCCTAGCCACCCTTTCTGTTTGGACTGTTTGTGTGTCTGTCTGTGACATGCAGGTCTCAGCAGACACTTGCTCTCATGGAATACACTTGGGCACTCAGCTTGGGGATTCACAGCAATACACTATCGCTAAAATTCCTTCCCAGGAGAAGATGTATGCAACAGCTACCCTACCTCCTCAGGTCACAAAGACAAACCGAGGCATATTGGGGCAAATGGGTTTATTGGGCACACAGATGAGGGGTTACTTATGGGTGTGTGTGTGCCTCCCCAACAGACCACATGTGGGAAGCCTTTACCCAGCACAGATGAGGACTTTTCTGTAGCTATACAGATGGCAGCCCGCCCCCCTAGTCTTCCCAGCCCCTCCTGAGGCCACGTGCGCACTTAAGGCAGAGTTGCATAGAGCAGGTGGAAGGGAGACGCTGGATACTCAGGTGAAGGTTGGAACCCTTCTCAGCCCTCTTTGTGGAAGTGCAAACAGTCAACAAGCCCATCTGAAATAATTCTTTTGTAAGGGGTGCAGTTGAATTCCCCAAGATGGCAGCTGCTTGGCTAGGAGGACAAACATACAACATACACACCCCATAAACGCTGCAATTGTTACCGCTAACATACAAACTTCTCTCAGTCAGAAGCGGCTCACACCCCAGTCCCTGTGCCCCCCCCGCCACTCGACACCCCTGAACATGCTCCTCCTGGGGTGCTGAGGCCCACCGCCCCCAGCAGCCCTTACACACCAGCTTCCAAAGTCCTGGCGCCTCTCGAAGATCTGGGCGGAGATCTGGGCGAAGATCTGGGCGGAGATCTGGGCGTCTCTCACCTTTTTCTTGCTTCTCGGCCCGATAACGTGCAGCACTTCTAGGGCAGTATACTTGCTGATTGCTTCCTTCGCTATTACTCACAACAACCAGCTAAGACACTGCCAAAGAAGCACTCACAGCCGGCCAGCTGGACTGAGGACCCTCGGCCAGGCACGAAGGAAGGAGCCACGGACAGCCATGAAGATGCAGGAGGATGGGGACGCTATGGGAGAAAGCTGAGCTGGACAACAGACACTACAAAGTATAACAGGCTCCTCCAGCGCTTTGAAGGCGGCACTCTGGCATGGGGTGGGGACGCAGGGGAGAGCAGCAGGCTGCTCCAGCAACCACAGAAGACACAGTAGTCAGCTCAGCTGTGGGGCCAACACCACCAGAAGATGTTCAGGAACTCCTTCCGGCTCCCACTAGGAGGCTGAGTCAGGAGGTTCCTTTGAGTTCAGGGGTTCGAGATCAGTCTGGGCAATATAGTGAGTCTAAAGAAAACAAAAACAGGCTGGAGGGTTGGCTTAGTGGTTAAGAACACTGACTGCTCTTGCCGAGGACCCAGGATCAGCTTTGAGCACCCACCAGGCTGCTCACAACTCTCTGTAACTCCAGTCACAGGGACTCTGATGCCGCTTCCAGCCTCTGAGGGCACCAGGCACGCACATAGTGTACATACATCAGGCAACACACTTATACACATTAAACATAAGTAAAGTGGCTGGGCATTGGTGGTGCACGCCTTTAATCACAGCCCTTGGGAGGCAGAGGTGGGCAGATCTCTGAGTTCGAAGCCAGCCTGGTCTCCAGAGCGAGTGCAGGACAGGCTCCAAAGCGACACAAAGAAACCCTGTCTTGAAAAAACAAAAAAACATAAGTATAGTGGGCCAGTAAGATAGGTCAGCGGGTAAAGGCACTTAGAACCAAGAATGATGGCCTGAGTTCAATTCCCAGAGCTCATATGACGGAGGGAGAGACCTGACTCCTACAAACTGACCTCTGACCTCCACACACACATGCTATGACAGAAACGTGCACCCCTACCCCTACCCCACCCTCTCCTGCCCTCCAAAATCAAATAAACAAATATAAAACAACAGCACCCTTCCCCCAACCAAACCCAAATAACCAGTGGGGCAGGTCAGGCCTGAAGAGCTCACACCGGGGCCAATGGGAAATGGTTCATCTCCAGGGAAACCTCAGATACTTCTTAGCAGATTAGATGAAGCCTGCCGGAAGCTGGAGTCCTCCACAGCAACACCTAGGCCAGTGTTTGGGTGGGTCACCCTGGAGTCCAGCCTCCAGTTACACAAAAACTGACCATGACCTACTGGCTGCCTTAAGATCCAGTGACTGGGCTGGGGCAGTGGTTCAGCTGGTGGAACCCTTGCTTGGCAGGTTCGAGACATTGGGTTTCACCTCCAGCTCTGTAAACCAAAAACATCTGGACTTGTTCATCTTTTAATACCCATTGTGGCTGGTGGAAATTAACGCAGAGACCCACAACTGAACCCTGTGCAGAGACCCACAACTGAAGTTAACACAGAGACCCACAGCTGAACCCTGTGCAGAGAATAAGGCTGTGGAGTGTTCAACTCTAAATGTGGCATCTGTGTCTCAATCCTCAGGGCTCAGGGGTCATCTCTGGAGGAGGTGGGGCAGGAAGACGGCAAGAACCTCTTCAGCTAAACGGTGTCTGTAGGACACAAGGCCATTGCCCACATGAACTCAGTGGCTGTGACTACATTCACAAGTCTCATACAAGGACAGCCAGCCAAAACCCCAGCATGGCCTGAGGAGGAGCTCATGAAGCCCCACCCCAGCTGAGGAGTTGGTGGCTGCTGGAAGGGGATGGCACCAGGTTCTTCACGTGTATAGTCCCTGAGATGAGAAGTCCCTGGAGCCTGAGCTCCAGCGAATAATTTTACAACCATGCTTGTATAGACAGCACTGAACGGGCTCAGTGGCTCCAGTAAACAGCACATGGAGAAGGGAGGGGAGCATGAGGCAGGCCCCGGCAGCCAGCATGGGCCCCGTGGTACTTGAAGGCCCTTTGTGGCTCTGTCTTCCCAGGCCCCACCTTGTTCCTCGGCGTGCGGGTCACCATTCCCTGAGTTGTCCCTTGTATTGACCCTCTCACTACCACCCAACTAGGGAGGATCAGGCTTGGAGAATGTGGGGTCCTTTCCATCCCCCAGCAGCATTTAACGTAATTCCAGACACACATGATTACACCCCAAGAGTCTGGTTGAGGCAAGCGGAGCTGCAGTCTGAGGCCAGCCTGCTTTCCATACCAGGACTTTGTCTCTGGGAGAGTATCTGCTGCCAAGCCTGACAACCTGGATTTGATCCCTGGATCCACAGACTGAATAGAAAGAGGCAACTCCCAGAAGTTGTCCTCTGCTCTCCACACATGACCCACCTACATACGTACATGAACACACACACAAACACGATTCACACAC